AGGCCCTGTACACACTAGGCGTTTTTCAACGCGCGTTTAACGCCGAGCTAACGCGCGTTAGCTCGGCGTTCGACGAGCGTTAGTTCGGCGTTTAGCACTGGCTCAGTTTGGAAATGGACGAGAAAGTAATTGATTGTGTGTGCTCCTCCATCGTCGCTATAAGGCAGCACATATATCTCAAAGCGCCCGTAAAGTGCCCGCAAAACGCGCGTTTTAACAAAAATCTATAAACGCGCATTTAACGTGCGCTTGGCGTTTGAGTGTGTACGGCTACATAGAACTCTTGGTTCTATAAAACGCGCGTTGAAAAACGCCTAGTGTGTACAGGGCCTAAATGGAGATTTTAATTAGAATATAATTTTTAAATATAAAGAACATTGAGCATTAAACGTTGATGAAACATTACGCATAACAAATGATGCATATGTATTAGTTTAACTAAGATATTGTTTATGCTGTCCTTTGATGACTGGGTTCACCAGTGGTTTCCTCTCTTCTCAGATTGGGGTTAGTTTTTAAAAAAATGTAAGCTAACTGAAATAAAGTAAACAACAAAAAACAAAATTACGATAGATAGATAATTGCTATAAGGAATCATTCCAACAAACTTTGTGTTTAGGCTCTCAATGAGATTTATGGATCTATAATGCTTCCAAAATTTTTATAATCCTTACCCTTGAATGTTAACTTTTATGCCCCATGATTTTCACTTGCATGATTAAATTTTACTTTTATAAAACCATCTGAAATAAATCCCACAAAGTAAATACAAATCAACTTAACTGAAATTTAAAATTTTAAAACCTACTACTACTTTCATATATCTGTTCTGATGTGTAAGGTTAATGCTCTATGAATGTCTCAATTTAACATGTAATTTTTTTAAAAGGAATTTAAGATGGTGTTTAAGATTTTCAAAAGCCAAAATTTTAAATACTGATAAAATTTTTTTTTCTTGCAAGGATATTTCTCTTCTATATCAATAAAATTATTCTAAAAAGAATTGATGGAGTCAGATAATCTATTTTTTTACTGTAATGTACTATTCATTAGTACACGGAAAACATATAGTTTTCCAATCGTTTCTGACTTTTGGAGGCTTAATAAATCCCAAGTTTGTAGACTGGTATAAAAATTAAGGAAAAGGTAAACAGATTAACATAAAGAAATAACACTTTTATTACTATAAATATTACCGTATTGTACTATTCATTAGTACACGGAAAACTACTAGTTTTCCATTCGTTTCTGACTTTTGGAGGCTTAATAAATCCCAAGTCTGTACACTGGTGTAAAAATTAAGGAAAAGGTAAACAGATTAACATAAAGAAATAACACTTTTATTACTATAAATATTACTTCACCAAAAATGCATTTCGCCTGCTAAGGCCTCCTCAGTAGGGATTTTCACAATCAGAATGTACAATAGGAACAGTAGAAGATATTTTAACACTCGCAAGCGATACATCTCTTTCAGTGCAAGGTACTCCAACATCAATGAAAGACGAATCTTTCTCACCGATACCATCGCTTAAATAACACTAACTCTTTCCAGCATTCCGCTGGCATCACTTCATTATTCAAATTCATTACATTACTTTGCATAATTATCGCGAAATGTTCTTTAAATTTTCTCTTCACTATATTTTTTCCCTATGTATTATTTTTACATTATTAATATCCAGTTGACAATTGTTCACATTACAATGCAAAAATACAGGAGATGTGTTAATTTTATTTCGTACTGCAGCCAAATGCTCCGACGTCCGCACTTTAAGTTTTCGCTTCGTTTCTCCAATGTAATAATACGGTACTCCACACGTACATTGGAGCCTATAAACCACTCCTTCTTCTAAAAGTACGAAATTATAATTACGCAAGAATTAACAATCGCCAGATTTATTTACTGTTAGCAATAATTCCGTTCGTATACTTTCAGGAGATAAAATCGTAATTAATCTATCGATATAAACTGTTAACTGTTATTTCTGCCCTTTCTGTACGCACTAAGAGGCCATTTTATATATATTCGTCATCAGATTAGCCAGGTCCACAACGGGGGTAGACAGAATATAGTGTAAAGATGCCACACATTTTCGACACACACTGCCTATTGGCATTGTATTTTGTGTCGATTTGATCCCGGATCGCCTAACGTAGTACTTGTCGCTCCTTCGTCATTCGGATGAGTGAACTTGTTTATTATATTACGATTAAATAAATCCTTCTTTTAGATATAGCGAAGCTACTTTTATCTGCCGGTAGACATTCGAGCTGTGCAAGATTAGATTAAAGAAATGTATCAATGAGTTTAGTGTGATTCAAGATGGGTGGAAGATAAACATTCGATTTTGCTGCGAATCAAATTAAAGAACAATTGCATGGTTAGAAAACCCGACATTGTTATTATTTTCATAATTATTTTTACGATATTACTTACATCTTTTAGAGAGAAAATAATTTAAAACTCCACTTCACATTTGAGCTTACCCATAAATAGGCCTACACATAAAAGGATTTTCCTATATGACATAAAATACAATTTAATACAGAAAATTATTAGCCTATATAAAAACTCAATAAAACCTTAAATATTACTTTATAATTACATTTAGTTTTATGTATCTACTTTTTTTAACTTGTAAAATAACAATTTTATTATTAATAAATTATTAACAACAACAAAACATTTTCTGAAGTATTATTACATTATTATTTTAACTCCTTTGACTACAAAACCAATACACAAATTTAAAATTTCAGCACGCTTACAGCTTATTTACCATTATCTAATATATAATCGAGACGGGTTGATGATAACGATGATAATAATAAGTGCAGANAATATATACATTTACAAGTATCTACTGTATTTACAGTACACTACATGCATTCGTAAATTTAGATTACTTTTTTCTGTACTTTATTAAAAACTAAAATTTATTTGTTTGTAAGCTTAAAATAAATTTTTATTAACCATATATTATTAAAAATGCATTAATAAATAAAATACAGAACTGGGAATAGTAATTTATGGTTTTTCCTAGTGACAAGTAGATTCGGAGACAAGTAAATTCGACTTACGTCGGTTTTCGACTTAAGTCGTTTTCCTGGAACCAATTACCGACGTAAGGCGAGGTATACCTGTATATACAGAATATAATGTTACAGTAATTATTAAAATTTGTTTATTCTTATTAATGCAGAATTCGGCTACAAAAACATCTTTGCGTAGGAAGACCAGCATTCGTAGAATTATATTCGAGTGTTATATGTAAGGTAAATATTTAAACGTTTATATAAAACGCATAAATCTGTGAAAATTTTAAAATCTTATATTTAACTTATTAAATTTAAATTAAAGTAATGGAAGAAGCAGAAGTTTCAAGTAAGGACAAGAATGTCGTCGTTTATCCAGTTAATTACGAACAAGCTGCAAATGTAAGTCGGTAACATGTATTTTATTTTACTCTATAGACAATTGTTTTGTGAGACTTCATAATGACTGCAAGACTATGTTTGATATCGTACAAAAAACTGAAAAAAGTAGCTTTGTTATTTAACTCCACAATAATAAGAAAAAAACAAATAATGATCATTAAATTTAATATATTTCCATGCATTATGACTAGTAGGTAGTCTCAATAATAGAACAGCGAAGTTATGAGCAGTACTTTCACGTACTCGTATTCAAAGAGAGTGCCTTCATAACGTTATAGGTGCATTAATATAAAATACACTTTATAATTTTTACTTAATTTTATTTAAACTGTTCTCTTGACCAGCGATGTCCAACCTGCGGCCCACTCAATGTTTTTGTGCAGTTCTTTAAAACAGTAATTATCTTGTATAGATTTTTATTACATTGAAATTGCATATGTATAGTCAAATATATACGTTAATATGATGTATAATACTTTATCACGAACAATCAGAAATTAAAACAGTATTAAATATTTTTTAATAAATCATCAAATATATTACATATAATATACATGTATTGCAATAGGTACAGTACATACTGTAAATATATATATTTAATCAATATGTTTACAACAAGAAATATTTTTAAATTAGTGTTTTGGTATAATGAAATTACTTGTTCTTAAATTTACACAATATGTGTAGTAACTGTCAAACAATAGACACGTTCTCAAGTTACAACGATCTGTGTTTTCAATATACGACAAGAAATTTTTTTGTTTTCTTTAAATTTTTGGAAATAAACATAGTAAATTTTAATTAGAATTACACATTTACACGTGCATATAGATTTAAAATTTCAAGTCATTCCATGTTCAGATTGATAACGGGTTTAATTACGTTTTACTGTGCAAGTTATTTGATTATAGTCAGCCACCAAAGGGCGCTTCATGTAACGGTTATGTTCTGTCGATCATTTGAAAATCTAATGACAGTTAGTTACTATTTTTAATATCGCTATTTTGTTTAACTATCTCTGCTAATTAAGTCTTGGAAAATGCATAAAAGTTTTTGGAAATTGAAAAAAGAAATTTGAACTTTTATGAATGAACAGGAACCACAATGTTCCTAAATTATATGATGAACAATGGCTTATCGATTTATGTTTCCTTACTAATATCACAATGAATTTAATCGAACTTAAGCAGCAGCTTCACAGTGAGCTATCAAAATATACAAGCATTCATAGCAAAACTCAAACTTTATGAAAATCAGTTAAAATCATAAACCACAATTCATCGTTTAAAATTACATAAATTTAATAGTTACAAAAACATTTTTCTAAATATGCATAAGAAATTACTAATCTACTAAGAGAATTTCAAGTATGATTTTCATATTTATAAATTTATGAGTATATATTTAATATAATCTTATTGACATAAGNTTTTTTCGTTTTTGCGGGAAATCGAACATATTTTTAGAACCATCTAAAAGTTCTCTAATTAGTCTGGAAACAAGGGGACCCAATTCTTGCATTCTGTGAAAACGGGTAAGGTTGACTGTAACGTAATAATCTTTATCTTAGTTATCGTTACTTTTGCCCGAGCAACGCCGGGCCCACCTGCTAGTTCAGTTATATTTTTACAAAAGTTTAATAATAGAGAGCAGGGGTTAACAGTAAAACCTCTGAAGGTTAAATACAAGCTTCTTTTTTTTAAAAAAAATACAGCTTCCTTTTTGAACTGCGTAAGTGTACTTCCTGGGTGTAGCAGTTGCTACGGTTAGATCGAGATGGCTAATTGCTACTTTGATAGGAAAGTAGTGATTAATACAGGTATACCTTTCTAGTCACTATATTTTTGAAGTAATGTTGCCGGTAATCGAGTAACTACTATTATTTAAAACGCTTCGGATTGTCCAATCGAAGAGACTTTTAATCTCATACAGTGAGGTCACTGAAGTAAGTGATGACGTCGATGCATTCACGTGCTACTGGAGTTGAGTGACAGATGCATTTCGTACGCCATGTTTATTAATTGTATGAGATGTTAACCCATAACTGAGATTTACTTCACTTCAGAAAAGTAAGGTATTTTTTATATTTTTTTTAAAATCAATTCATTCAACTATATTATCTTTTGAAAGAAATTTATAAAGAACAAGTATCGAAAAATCAGTCAATTATTTATAAAATATCGATACTATTGGCTTAATTTATAGTAACAAATCTCCGAATTTATTTTTTATTACAAACCAAAATTGAAAAAGACAAAAGAAGTGGGTCTAACAGAGATATGTTCAGAACTGAGTGATAGAAGAAAGGATGTGACATCCAAAAAATGGATTGTCACATTACGATAATGAGGACGATTTTTTTTTTTTTTTTTTTATTACTTAAATAGGTGTAACTGTATTATCTTTGATGCAGTTGTCCAAGAGACATATTACATAGACAATTCGCGTGGCAGATGAATAAATAGCAGACAGAATAAGTATTTAGAAAAAATAATAACTGATGTATTCCGTAGTTTATACTTATTTGTATGTCGCTCTGACTAGTGTCTTTTAGAGTATATATAAAAGAAAACGTTTACGAAATTTGTGTGAATTTAAACTGAATTGTTTGTAAATCGTCTTAATTAGAAATTCTTGTAATAAGGACGTTCTTATTAGAAAAAAACATTTCTAAATATTGAATAGCGATGTCTTCAGACAAACATTCGAATTTTTTAGTGTAGTTATTCGAGATAAACATTATTCAAACTATTTAATTTTATGAACTTATTTATAATAGATTTCCATCGCTTTATACAAATTTTTATACAAGTGTGAGATCTGAACGTTCAGGGGAGGGTCATTTTAATCAAAATAATAAGTAAAGAAAAGATTTAAAATTAAGAGAAAATAATATTTTTCAACTTCAACGAAATTTTATCAGAAAACGGAACTTTCGATTTTTGAAAGGAAGTTGATTTCCTTTCCCAGGACAACTCATTATGAGTGGAGTTTTACACACGTTACTGACGACCAAATAAAAGGGACATTTTCCCGCCACGCGAGGCAGTCCGTCGAGAAAAGGTATATTGCCATACGTAAGAATCCGTCATCCGAAAGTCAGTCCGTTGAAAGGAGGTTTGCCATACTCAGAAAGCTCTCACCATAATCCGCGTGTAAAATAACTGATTAACTGGTGTCGGAAATCCTGACGAAAGAAAAAGGGTGATTACGCGATGATCTGATTCCGCTCTAAATTAACATTCAAACTGTAAGTCCCTCCACACTCGATTTCCTTGAATTAGGAAAGCCATTCTTTTAGACAAACAGAGGGCTATTCACGAGAATAGTTGCCGATTAAGTGATATACGAGTAAAGACTACTCCGTATCCCCGGCCACCCCTCACATAAGCTAAGACGAAAAAAGCACTTTAATTTATATAGTAATACGCAATTTTATGCATCAAATTATAATTAACGAATAGCTTACACTTTTTGTACAACAGATGAAAATTTTGTCTACTATCTCAGCGATATGCCGATATTTACGTCCAAGCTTTCGAAAAGAATATATTCCTACGTGTAAGGAATCTAGGAATGATCTAGTCAAGAATTTTTTACAGGATATATCTTCGTTATCAGACCAGAAACTCAAGCGCCACTACAATTCAAATAAGTTTTATTTCATAATTGAGCAGGTTTCAGAGTACACGTGTCTCGGACTCATTGAATTAGCTGTACTCATACTTATAATAAGGTAATATATCCTATAATTGGACATTCCACATTCCTGAGGAAATCTCGTATAAGGCCAAATTTTTTCCTTTCTGTTGTTCCGGTTTGTCTATAGTTAATTTAAGAATGACATTATTACATCTTCTAATGAGTCTCCACACGGGAAAATCTTACACTATTTTATGCAGTGTTAATTGCCTTATATTTCTCTTAAAAAATTTTATTTTTGGCAGTTACTGTGTTTTCATATGTTAAGACAATATGTTCCGGTAAAGACTGAAAGCTCGACTCGGTTGCAAATTCGTAATTGAAAATATTATTTTTATAAAATACATGTACAGAATACGATATTTCAACTGTAAATTTTCAAATATTCTGCATAAATAAATAAATAAACACAGAGTTTCTGTTTAGTGTCAGTTACCAAGAACTATTACATAAATTTTCAAGCATAAAATGCTATATTTATTTTATATAAGAAGCCATATTTATGTTAAATATACCATTCTTATATAAGATTTTATCAAAAGGCTAAGAAGACCGGAAAAAATGCGTTTATGAGAGCTGATTGTCTAACAATAAATGGAGAAAACTTTACGTTTGATCTAATAAGTAATAGGCTGATGAAAATCGAACCTTTTTTATCACCAGGAAAGTCGTCGGATCGTCGAATGGACGAGAATTAAAAAATTCAACTGTTATTCCTTATTCAGAGGGTTTCTATACGCTAAAGGTATTGTCAAGGAATAGTCAAGGTTCATTGTTTGCTAACTTTTCTGACAAGAATTTTGTTGATTTTGTATCATTATATGCTAACAAGTAAAATCATTAAGTCTAACCCCTCGTAACATATGACAAGTGACCACTCTCTATCTTTCTATTCCCTTGACCTTTCACAACCAATATTTAGTAGAATCAATGCCCCTTACATACAGGCTACCTTGTAAAATTTCGTTTCTTTATCTTCTCCCCATGCTGAGATATTAAGCTAATTAGACACCAACACACATACACATACATACATATCCATGGAATTTTTTTCTGTTTTGTTTCACTTTTTTGGAAGGTTCAAAGGATCTCAAACGTGGACATTTGCAAAAGCTTGAAGGGTGAAATTTGATACGATTTTAATACTTTCTTTTGTTACGTATACATAACAGCTGGAAAAGTAAAAATGAAATTGTAATAATTTATTTGTTACAAATCTAAATTGGCCTGAACCGCTCTTAATAGATATGTTTTCGATGATACATTTCACACGTATAACATTATCAATAGCGAATAATTTTATTTCCTTGTATAATATAAAATGACTCTAGTTTACCAGGATATTTAAAAATTTTATATTAAAAACATTTGGGTAACTTGAGGAAAGTTTGAATGATACTGGCTTAATCGACTACTAAATTTGATTTAGGGGAGACCGGGGCAAAACCGGCATGTTAAGCTTTATTTAAATTTTGTGTAATAAATACTGCTGTAAACTGAAAAAAAGCTTTGCATATTGTCTATTGGAATGTTTTCTTACTATAGAACTGATTAAAATCAGTTTGGAAANGAGAATTTCAAGTATGATTTTCATATTTATAAATTTATGAGTATATATTTAATATAATCTTATTGACATAAGATAATATTAAATATATAATTCTACGTTGTTCCTTAACAAGCTACAACAAATTCGCAGATGGATTTGATACATATCCATTTATCTTCTGTATTGAAATATATGTTTGAGGGGAATAACAAAGTTCAGTTTTATGCAAAACTAGCAGACCCCGCCACGCGTTGTTGTGGCTCAAAATGTATCTATTATAAATGTATAACACTTACCCCGTGGAAAGGGAAATTTTTCGAAAAATTTCTTCTTAGTGTACATTCTCTCGACGTACCCTATTAAAACGTAATCAAACACGCAAAAACCCGCATCTAAAATAGTATAAATAGAAACAGAGTTCTTTACGGTAAGCCTTAATCCTAACCATCTCCCTCCAGTGGGGGGAATTTCGACACGTATATTACAGCAAATAAAAACACGTGCGTATTCGAATGCAGCGTTATGTCAAAATTTGAAAGGAATCGGTAGGAACAAACGAACATTACATTTTTATTTATATAGATAGATAGAAGATGATCCGCTTTAGTTCATTTTCACAGAAAAGCAAACTTAAGGCGTCGTACTCGTAGCGCCATCTGTTGGAAAAAAAAGCCTTAACCATAGATGATATCATTTAATTTATATGAATGTTTAACGGAATAATATACAGCCTATGTCCACCCCGAGGTTCCATTCTAAATATTGGTGAAAGAATTTTTGAAATCGGATGAGTAGTTTCGGAGATTACCTGCTGCAAAGAAACTTACATACATACATACATACATACATACATACATACAAACATTACCTCTTTATAATATTAGTATAGATATGTCTGTAATAATAAATTTCCTGACCTAAAAAAAACTCCATGAGCATTACAGCTGCAATAGAATTCACTTATTTTCGTGAATCTTTTTTTCTCAAAATTAAAAATTGTTAACAGTAAAAGTTGTAATAGATTGACAGATAAAAATTTACTTAAATTAAAAATACCAATTTTGTTGTACAAAGTCAAAAATACCTTTTGACAAAAAGTTTCACATTAAATGCATACAAAATACTGTACAATTGTATACGTTTCGTTGTAAATAAATACGTGTGGCCCACAGTATATTTTTACTTTTGGTTTTGGCCCAGCAACAATTTTGTAGACAAAAGACTGTAATAAATATGCCATTTAATTACAGGCAATGGATAGAAGCAATGGAGTGAGGCAAAATGAAAATATGTTCAAGGAACTTTTAAACGGTAAATGCTTTAGTTTTTCTTTTTTTAAGTAATAAACTTTAAAGTTGATATAAAGGAAGATATTTTTCAGAATTTATTTACGTCTTAGTTTTTTACTTTTATAACGATTCCACGAAAAGTGGTCGAAGCAAGCTATTATAAAATACACAAAGGAAATTAATAGAATAAAAAATATTTTAAATGGTTAAACTTTACTAAATGTTAACAATACATTACATTAGTTTCTTACGAACATCTTCATAATGTTTACCATAGAAAAAAATAATTATTTAGAAATTTTTAGAAAAGTATTGGGAACAAAAATAAGAAAATTATACAATGGAAAATTCCGAAAAAGTGTGCTAAATATTAAAAATTAATAATAACTTACGGACAATAAATTCTTTACACAGAGATAATTGTTTATCTGAATTATCATCTTAGGCAAGAAAATTTTTTATATTGTATAAATAACTTTTCGTTATCATTCAACACCTGTTTAGTTAAATATGTCAGTACAAATTATATTCAATTGAACATTAATTTCAGTTGAGAATTGTAATCAATATTCGACGATGTTCAAAAACTGTGCACAAGTTCACGTTGGACCGAGAATAGAAATTCATTCTGAAAACCCGAATGCAAGTCGCTTAAAGAAAGAAGACGAAGAAAGGAATGGTAAGTGCTTCTCTTAGTAGTAAACATACAACGGAAACATCTTTGTAATTTTAATTTTTGTGTTTTTTTGTGCTGAGAATCAATGCATTTAATTAATGTACTGTTATACATTTTGCCCAAACTTGTACTATTTAATTGTATTTTATAAATTTCGTTTAACCGGTAAAAATTTTTAAGAGAAGCCAATGGATGAATCTGTTTCAATTCACTTCACTACACAAACATCACGACTTTTCGAAAGTTACTTGTCTATATTCCATACTTATCTGCTTACTGATATTTTCGTTATCGTTCACATACTTTTGAAAACTTTGCTAAAATATTCATGAATGTCATTGTTTTTTAATTGCTGGAAACAGCTATCCTTCCGCGAAAAATTTTTGACATTCGTTGGCGCAGTTCATTACGAGAAACATTTAAGTAGTAATGTAGAGTTAGTGTACTTTGTTACGTACAGTAACTTTAGATAAGCATTATAAGCTTAATTAGTAAATAAGCACAATCCACAGTAACGTATTTTTTAACCGGTCAGCGATAAAGGAAAGTTTAAAAACAACACTAATATACATCATAGTACTAAGGAAAATAGAGGAAATTTATCATAACTAAGAAATAAGTTTCTATATAATAACAAATACAAAAATAAAATTAAAAAATTAATACGACATTTGATTATGATGTTTTTTACTTACAGAAATGTTCGACAATTGCTGCCAGAAGATGAAGGAAAAATATGTTACTTACTTTTCCTACATGAAATCTTTCTTGTGGGAAGGAAGGAGGAACGATTTTCCACTAAAGGATTACTTTGTAGAATTAACTGTAGAAAAAGCAGATTTATTTGGAAAGGAATGCGGAGAGAAAATAAGTCTGAATGAGATATTTGCCGTAGAACGAGATGGACACCAAACTATTTTAGTAACAGGAGATCCCGGTTATGGCAAATCTACTTTATGCAAGAAAATTGCATACGATTGGGCATCCTCCAGTTATTTGCAACATTTTCAATTAACTTTTATTGTAATATTAAGAGAATTAGGTGATAAAAGTGTAACAGATGTATTACTCGATGATATTCATGAATTAACTGATAAAAATTGGAAATTGATAGATAAAAAAGTGAACGTTTTGGTTATTTTGGATGGGTTCGATGAAATTATAGAAAAATCTAAAATTATAACATTTATAAGAGAAGAATCTTTCAATATTTCTCGCACAATGACTATTTTGGTAACGAGTCGAACTCAAGCAGCGGAAGAGATCAGAGAGGACATGAAGATGAGGATATTGATAAAGGGGTTTTCTCCAGAATATCAAGAAAAATATATTCAATTAATATTTAGAGAAAATGAAAGTAAAGNTTCGATATTTCTCGCACAATGACTATTTTGGTAACGAGTCGAACTCAAGCAGCGGAAGAGATCAGAGAGGACATGAAGATGAGGATATTGATAAAGGGGTTTTCTCCAGAATATCAAGAAAAATATATTCAATTAATATTTAGAGAAAATGAAAGTAAAGCGAACGAACTCATTTCCGCATTGACAAAGGATGACTTTTACAGAGAAATATCAGAATGTCCTCTGATGCTGCATATGTTGTGTTGCCTTCATCGAGATGGAGAAATGGAAAAGCTTGAAACGATGGCTGATTTATACATTAGGATATTTACTCTAATAACTGAACGTTATGTGAGAAAAACTAATCAAAAACGTAAATTTAAAAGAGGAAAATATTTTGTGGGAGAAAATTTGCTACTGAAATTAAGAAGATTAGAGAGAGGCAAAGATGTTATCACATCACAAGATTTGGTGGCTTTATTTCCAAATGAAGATGAACACAATTTCATTACTGGACTAGACATTCTTACTCTGGATTCCTTTTCTGAATGCGATAATATCATCCGATACAGTTTTGTTCATCGGACATTTGGCGAATTTCTTACAGCTTTATGTGTATATATCGGTTATATTTCGTTTCCATATTGTACTAGTAATATGGAGTTGTTATTTTTAATGGGATTTTATAAGGATGAACCTTTACCCAAAACATTTTTAACATATATACCCAAAAAATTGTTCACATATCCATTCATACTCTGCGCTCACAGACAAATCAAACTGAAAAGTAATTGGGAACAATTTTGTTCACATTTAAAAGTGGTATTTTATTATATAAATTTCCTGACTTATTATCAAGAGATATTTAACTTGTATGAATTCAAAGAATTGTATTTATATTTATACGAGATTGAAAGAAAAAACGACGTATGGGTGAATTACGTAAATTACTTATCGAATCTCTGCAGTTACATTAAAAATTTAAAGATTTATCTTATTCTCTTAGTTTTTGAAAAGTTTTCGAATCATTTATACGATATTAGAGAACTTATCTCAGGCATTATCGATTTCCTTCAAGTANTCTCTGCAGTTACATTAAAAATTTAAAGATTTATCTTATTCTCTTAGTTTTTGAAAAGTTTTCGAATCATTTATACGATATTAGAGAACTTATCTCAGGCATTATCGATTTCCTTCAAGTAATGAACGGTAACGTAGACATTTATTTTATTGGCGTAAAATATCTTCCGGGTGAAAATCATTTTCATAGGTTCATCAATGTAAAATACAATTTGAATTCGTCAGAGATCCGGAAATCATTAAATATAAGTGAAGACGAGAAGTTGGTTGCATTGGAAACTGTCGACGATTCGAAACAATCTGACAGTTTCGTCCTCTCGTTGGAGCAATACGAAACTTTACGCGATCGTATCTTATTTCAGTCTGCCAGTAAATTGAAATTAAAATGTGCAATACTGTAGAATTCTTTTAAAATATATATTAAGTTTTTTTTATAAAAGAATCGTGTAACCTTTATTTATGATATTACACGTATTTATCAGTGACGAATTTCTACAAATAGATACACTGGATTGTTAAACGTTGCGTGTCGTCGTGTTGAAACATTTTTGTAGGATTATAATCTAGGAAAAAATTAAATAATTGTATTTGTGGTTGACTACACCTATAACACTACACTTATGAAAATGGAAATTATGTATAGGCCTAAACACTGTGTTTAGACATTATTTTGAAGTTCTACAAATATACAGTTGATCCCCCATAACACTGTTGATAATTCCGTTTTATATGAATTCCATGTTGTACGAGTCACTTAAATTTTACAAACACGTGTGCCGTGCTGTGAACGGCTCACGTATTTGAAAAATCTAAGTGATTCGTACAACATGGAATTCATATAAAACGGATTTATCAACAGGGTCAACTGTACAGTTATAGGTGTAGTCTAAGCACAAAATACTGCATAACAATTCATTTACAATTAGCGGTTATGGCATTTATAGAAATTGTCCTATTCGGTCCGCTCGTGTGCCAAACTTCCATTCATATTATTTTGCGTAATTGCAATTAGTTTGTAATTTCTATTATAAACTGATTGCATAGTATACTGTTATATATAAGTTTTATGTTTCAAATTGTATTTTTGAAGATATTTACGAGTGTTTCGCAGTGTTACAGGATTGTAAAAAGTACTATACCTGTCAAATAATGCGCTAAAAATATATTAAATTCAATTGTTGTACTCTTCGTGAATAGAAATGAAGCTGAAATGTCTATTGTTTGCTAATAACTAAACAATACGGTAAACACGAATGTTTACATTGTTAAATATTATATTTCGAATATACAGGTTTATAGATTTTACAAAAGCATTAAATTAGAGTTAAAGACGGTAACTTGATCTTCTAATTAAATGAATTAGCAAACAATTTAATTGACGTTTCGAACATCCATTAAATGTAAGGTGATTATCAAATACACACGAAAAAAAAGAATAAAATACACGAAACTGAACGTAGAAGAAAGTATAAAGTTTATTGAAATCAAGTGAGATAAGCATATTAAAAAGTATTTGGATATTTGTTTTATAAATAAATTTAACCTAACGACATCAAAATTAATTGTGAAGGATTGATATTGTTCAACAATGATATATTGAAAGTCAATGTTATATAATAAAAATGACAGAAAATAATCTTAAAGTATGTGAATTGTCATTTTAATCTTTCATACAGAATAGGAAATTTCATTTTCATTTATGTGGATTAGTAAAATAACTGGATATTTTTAGAAAATAATATAAAAATTATACCTGAGATTCTGGATAAAATGCAGAAAATGTAATAATTAGAAAGTATACATTGATATATTGGTCGTATTTTTATTGTAAAATTAGTTATATGTGTAAACTGATAATACAATTAGGAAATAAAAACCTTATATACAATTTATATGTTTGTTTTAAATTTTTTAATAAAATGTAAAGAAAAATAAACGAAAGAAATTATTTAAAATAATTTTCGCTTGTGTTTTTAACCAACTGAAAATTAAACTATNCTACGCTTGTTGGAGAACAATAAAAACACTACACTCAACAAGCCACCAATAAAACTCAACTGCCTAACCTATAACCAAAGTCTCCTTTTAATTTGTTTTTTAAAAAAAGCGCTTGACAAACTTGCCCCGCATGCCGAAGTTGCCCCGGTCTACCCTATATCTACAGAACAAAATCTTTGAAGTGTAAATTTATTTATGCAAATATTCTACATAAATAAATAAACAGTAATTAGACTGTTTCTTAACTGTCAGTTACAAATAACTATTACATAAATATTTAAGCATAAAACATAGTAAATTCTTATATAAAAAATAATTAGCTTTGATATGTACACAATATATATACAGACTACAATATTACAGTAGTCATTAATATTTATTTATAGTTATTAATACAGAAGAATTCGGATACAACAACATCTTGAATATGAAGCCCTGTATGCCTAGCATTCTATTCCAGTGTTATACGTAAGGTAAATATTTAAAAATTTAATTTAAAATCATATTTTTTAATAAAAATTAGAGTAAAACGAAGAAATTTGTGAAATTTTTAAAATCTTATATTTAAATTATTAAATTTGAATTAAAGAAATGGAAGAAGCAGAAGTTTCAAGTGAGGAGAACAATGTCATCGTTTGTCCAGTTAATTACGAACAAGCTGCAAATGTAAGTCGGCAACGTGTATTTTACTCTGTAGAAAATTGTTTTGCAAGGTAATTACACAGTCCAGTCACATTAATGTGACCACCTGTCAAAAGCCAGAATGGTCCGCAAGGACAGATGCATACCTGTGTTGATCCATCGTGCCTTCCCCACAATGACGAGTTCACTTGGAGAATGCCACGGAAGATTTCCCAGATCATAATGTTCCCTCCTCTAGCTTGGAATCTTGTGGCAATTGATGCAGGGTGATTGCTTTCAGACGCCTCACGCCCTATACACCAACGTCCATCTGTCTGATGAAGCATAAAATGTGATTCATCGGAAAAAAACCATCTGTTGCCACTCAGTGGACGTCCAGTTGCCATACTGGCGTGCTAATTTTTGCCTTTGTCGCCGATGAACAGGAGTCAGCATAGGTGCTTTAACCAGGTGTCTGCTGCGGAGGCCCATACACAGCAACGTTTGCTGAATTGTCGTTGAGGAGACAACTTTTGGTAGCTACTTGGTTCATCTGGGCGGTCAGTTGGTCAACGGTTGCACGTCTATTTGCCTGAACACATCTCCACAGACGTCATTTACCTCTGTCGTCTATGGTCCGTGGTGCACCACATTTGCCACGTTGCTGATTCTGGATAGTGCCGTTTTGCCATGCAGGGTATACTTTTACCATGGAAGCATGTGAACATTTTAAAAATTAGCTGATTCGAAAATGCTTTCACCCTTGGCCCGAAAGTCAATGATCATGCTCTTTTGGACGTTAGATAAATCGCGTCGTACATCCATTATGCCAACGATTGCAATATTTTTCGCTTACCTTAGATACCCTTTACTGCAATGTGTTGCTACTTGTCACCTGTGATTAGTAATTTCACGTTAATGTCGACAGTAAGAGGTGGTCACATTAATGTGACTGGACTGTGTATTACTTAACAACGACTGGAAGACTATGTTTAATGTTGTCCAAGAAAACTGAAATAAGTAAGTTTGTTATTTAATTTCACATTAGAAATAATAAAAACAAATAACTATGATTAAACTTAATATATCTTCATGAATTATGACTAGTAGGTAGCTTCCACAATAGAGCAGCAAAGTGATGAGGAGTACTTTCAGATACTCGTACTCAAACAGAGTGCCTTCGTAACGTTATAGAGCTGCACTAATATATAAATACACTTTATATTTTTAACTTAATTGTCTTTAAACTATTCTCTAGACTAAAAACTGTAATAAATATATTATTTAATTACAGGAAACGGATGGAGTTAGGCAAAATCAAAGAATGTTTAAAGAACTTCTAAACGGTAAATGCTTTGGTTTTTTTTTAAGAATGAACGTGAAAGTTGATATAAAAGCAGATATTCTTTAAAATTTATTTACGTTTTATTTAATTTCTTTCTGAGTTTCTAATGAGTCCATGAAAATCGGTTAAACTAAGCTGTTATAAAACACATAGAGTAAATTAATAAAATAAAAATTATTTTAAATACTTAAACTCTCCTTTTCTTTCTCCTTTAATGTTGTCGAATGGCGTTTGCGACTTCGTTTCGATATTGCTCTGTCTAGCGCTTTGTGTAGAACTTGTGCTGTTGTCATGTGAAGCCAGGTGTTTATGCTATCTAGTCAGGCCGTTTTCGGACTGCCTGGACGTTTTTTGCCTTCAATCCTGCCCTCCAAAATGAGTGGCAGTAGATGGTATTTTTGGCAGTTCATAGCTATATGGCCTAGGCAATTGCATTTCCTGCTGATGATAGTTTTAATCAGGTCCCGGTCCGTGTGCATGTCCTGCAGGACCTGTGCGTTGGTTATCTTGGCCGTCCAAGGGATTTTCAGCATTCTTCGGTATAGCCACATTTCGAAGACCTGGAGCATTTTTGTAGTGGCTGTTGTTAGAGTCCAAGTTTCTATACCGTAGAAACCTGGTTTTGAGCATGATTGGCCATGTGTAGCATTTAAATGTGTGTAATTTAAGCATGATGTTCAAGTTTCTGTCAGTAAGGAGTGTTTTCCATTGGTGAATGCTTGCCTGGATTCTTCGATTCTGCTCTTGATTTCGGCCTCATGATTCAGCTGGTCATCAATCGGTACTCCGAGATACTTGAAGCGGTGTACTTGCTCCAACTTTTCCTTATTTAATTTGATCGTGATTACATTTGGAATCTTGTTGACCTACATTACCTTTGTTTTTTTTTTTTTTTTGTTTATTCGTAACCCCCATGCTTGACTTTCTGTTTCCCCTTCATTCAAGATAGTCTGTAAAACTTGTTCAGAATCCGTTATTAGTTCTGTATCGTCAGCATGTCTTATGTTAGATGTAGTGTCCGTTAACTTTTATGCCAATCTCCTTGTCGGGCAGTGTTCGGTCGAATATCATTTCCGAATAGATATTGGAAAGAATGGGAGATAATGGGCAGCCTCGCAGGACGCCTTTTTGTATTGCGATTGAGTATGTCAGGTTGTTGACACAGCGGAGCTGGGATGTTTGATTTTAGTAGAGAGTTGTGATAAATTTGATATCGTTAGTTTCGAGCCTAAGTTCTCTCAGTTGATCAATTAGGCGGTCATGGTCTATTGAGTCGAAGGCTTTCTCATAGTCAATAAAATATATCTACACTTTTTTTTTGATGTTCATAGCACCTCTGTAGCAATATTTGTAAGCAGAAAATTGCCTCTCTGGTGCCTTGTCTCCTGCAAAACCAAACTGTGTGTTTCCTAGTGCATGTTCGTATTTACATCGTGTTCTTTGCTGAATCACCTTGAGGAAAACTTTTAGCACCTGGCTCATTAGACTGATCAGCCTGAAATCTTCGCATTTTGGGTTAATAGCCTTTTTTGCTAGGGTCACAAAGATTGATTGAAGCCAGTCAGATGTAATAACGTTGTTAATGTAGATTTGATTGAACCATTTCGTTAGTTGCTTGATGTTGTTGTAGTCTAGTTGCTTCAGCAGTTCCACGTGAATCTGGTCAGGTCCACAGGCCTTGCCTAGCTTTGCTCTACAGATGGTATGTTCCACTTCAGACTTTAGTATGTGGAGATTGCCATCCTGCACTTGTTGCGATTATGGCGGTTTTCTTGTTGGCGCCGAACAGATTGTTTATATAGTTCATTCACGTATCAAGTTTGACTTGTTTGCTTAGTATAGGTTGATTGTTGTCTATATTTACGCTTGGGATAGGACCCAGTTTGTAGATGCTTCCAGCTTCTTTGAGCTTCTTGTGAAGAGTTAAAGTTATCATTTTTCTTGATCAGGTCTTCGATTTCTGCACACTGCTCTTCTATCCATTTTTCCTTTGTCTTTCGGATTTCTTCCTTGATCTTTTGTTGTATTTTTTCGTATTTTTTTGGTTGTTGCTTTTGAATGTTCTCCATTCGTCCATTACATCTAGAATGTGCTGGGTCATCCACCGTTGTTTCTTTTTCGGCGCCTGATGTACCAGCAGGGTTTTTGCTGTTTTATTGATGCGCTGTTTAAGTGAACTCCCAAACGCTTGTACGTCTATTGTTGCTGCTTCGATCGATCTGATTGAATTGTTGAGATGTATCAGTAATTGTCGCCTGAAGGCGTTGTTCTTCAGATTTTCCAGATCGATTCTTTTTGTTGCCCTTTTGTGCTTTCCTGATCATAGTTTGAGGCTTAGTATTAATGTCACTAAGTTATGGTCTGACGATATGTCAGCTCCAGAGTAAGTTTTTGCCCTGAGGGCACTTGACTTATATTTAGTGTTGATAAACGTGTAATCGATTTGGTTTCTGACGACATTGTTGTCAGTGTCATGTGGCGAGATCCAGGTATACAATCGTCGAGGTGGTAGTTTAAACCAAGTGTTGGCGAAGCTAAATTTTACTTCTTGAGAAAACTGGACGGGTCTATCGCCTCGTTCATTCCGTGTCCCCAAACCTACTATGTTTAATAGCCTTCCTTGACCAACTTTGGCATTAAAGTCACCGAGGATGACTGTAATGTCGTGCTTCTTCAACGATATTAAAGTGTTGCTTAGCTGGTCGTAAAATGATTCAATTTCTTTATCGTCTTTGTATGCTGTTGGTGCATAGACCTGGAGCACGTTCACGTTGATCTCATTGCCTGCTAATTGTAGTAGTGCGATTCGTTCTGATATTGGGGTGAAACTGGTGATTTTGTTGGCCAGTTGTTTATGGACAACGAAAGCGACGCTGTACGTCTGCTTGGTGTTCTCTTCTCCTCTGGAACAGAAGACGTGGAGGTCGTTTGATATAAACTTCTTTATTTCGATGCCATTTAGTTTCGCTTAGACCGAGTATATTTATGTTGATGCGTTCCATTTCTTGTTAAACTTTGGCCATTCCTTGTAGCTATTTTTAGAGAATTCTTCGAAGCAAGCTCGGAGAATCTTAGCACCCCCTGTCCCATTTAAGGGACGCCCAAAATCGGGAGCCGAGGTTTATTTTCTTTGACATCAACGAAGTTTTCAAGGAAAGAATAATCCAAGTAGTTTCCCGTTGCTTTCTTGGATCACAATTTAGTTGAAAAGGTCGTGTGTGGACTTTTTGAATCGATTTTCTTCTGACGTCTCCACCAAAACCTTTCCGCCATGCGTGGCCCTTCTGGGAATGCAGAGCTACCGATGGCATAACTTTCAGTTTCTCAGAAGTACGCAATCACTCTTGCCAAGTTAAGACACCGTCTCTACAAAATGTTAACAATTTATTAAAATACTTTAGTTTCTTACGAACAACTTTGTAATGCTTGTCATAGACAAAGTGATTATTTTCAAATTTTTATCAGTTACTAAGAAACAAAATGGGGATATTATACATAGGAGAATTGAATAATGTGTTCGAACTATTTAGAAACTAATGATAAATTACTGATAGTAAATTCTTATCTTGTAATATTTTACACAGAGATAAATGTTTATCTGAAATATTATCTTAGGCACAAAAATTTTTCCATTGTATCGATCAATTTTTGTTATTATTTAACTCCTCTTTAGTTAAATAATTCAATACAAATTATATTCAATTCGACATTAATTTCAGTTGAGAATTGTAATCAATATACGACGATGCTCAAGAACTGTACACAAGTTCACGTTGGACCTAGAATAGAAATTTATTCTGAAGACCGGAATGGAAGTTGCTCGAAGACAGAAGACGAAGAAAGTAATGGTAAGTGCAAATATGGCAATGTCTTAATAATAAATATGGAAAAGGGACTACTTTATAATTTTAATTTCTGTGTTGTTTTGTGCCGAGAATCAATACCTTTATTTAATTTACCATAACAATCAATTAATTATAAATTATTAGTCAATTATATTACCACGTTACAGAAATTTGTTAATTATATAAAGTGCTTTATATAATTATCGCAAGGTGGAGACGTCAAAGTCACATCACATCTGCAGCGAATTACCGTTATAATACATTTATACTTGTAAGCGCAAGTTTCTATTTATCGATTGAGCCATATGCATTGTTATTTTCTATTTTTTTACAGAAATTCTTACGTTACTTCAAATTTTTTATTGTTTTATTTTTATTCAAAACTTTATCTAAATAGTAATTAATGTCAGTGTTTTCAACCGCTGGTACACGAACCGGTATCTCTTCCAAAAATTATTTGACATTAGTTTGCGCAATTGATTACGGGAGACATTTAAATAGGAATATAGAGTTCGTGTACGTACTTTGTTACGAACAGTATCTTCAGATAAGCACATATGAGCTTAATAAATAGGCATAGTTGACAGTCACGTATTTTTTCCGGTCAGCGATAAAGGAAAGTTTAAAAAAAACACTTGTATACATAATTATACAAAAAGAAGTAGAGGAAATTTATCATAACTAAGAAATAAGTTTCTGTATAATTACGACTGCGAAAATAAAATAAAAATAATTAACACGACGTTTGATTATGATGTTTTGTACTTACAGAAATGTTCGACAATTACTGCCAGAAATTAAACAGAAAATATGTGACTTACTTTTCCTATATGAGATCTGTCTTGTGGGACGGAAAGAGGAACGATTTTCCACTAAAGGATTACTTTGTAGAATTAACTGTAGAGAAGACAGATTTATTTGGAAAGGAATGCGGAGAAAAAATAAGTTTGAATGAGATATTTGCCATAGAACAAGATGGACATCAAACTATTTTAGTTACAGGAGATCCCGGTTATGGTAAATCTACTTTATGCAAGAAAATTGCCTACGATTGGGTATCCTCCAATTATCTGAAACATTTTCAATTAACTTTTATTGTAATATTAAGAGAATTAGGTGATAAAAGTGTAACAGATGTATTACTCGATGATATTCATGAATTAACTGATAAAAATTGGAAATTGATAGATAAAAAAGTGAACGTTTTGGTTATTTTGGATGGGTTCGATGAAATTATAGAAAAATCTAAAATTATAACATTTATAAGAGAAGAATCTTTCAATATTTCTCGCACAATGACTATTTTGGTAACGAGTCGAACTCAAGCAGCGGAAGAGATCAGAGAGGACATGAAGATGAGGATATTGATAAAGGGGTTTTCTCCAGAATATCAAGAAAAATATATTCAATTAATATTTAGAGAAAATGAAAGTAAAGCGAACGAACTCATTTCCGCATTGACAAAGGATGACTTTTACAGAGAAATATCAGAATGTCCTCTGATGCTGCATATGTTGTGTTGCCTTCATCGAGATGGAGAAATGGAAAAGCTTGAAACGATGGCTGATTTATACATTAGGATATTTACTCTAATAACTGAACGTTATGTGAGAAAAACTAATCAAAAACGTAAATTTAAAAGAGGAAAATATTTTGTGGGGGAAAATTTGCTACTGAAATTAAGAAGATTAGAGAGAGGCAAAGATGTTATCACATCACAAGATTTGGTGGCTTTATTTCCAAATGAAGATGAACACAATTTCATTACTGGACTAGACATTCTTACTCTGGATTCCTTTTCTGAATGCGATAATATCATCCGATACAGTTTTGTTCATCGGACATTTGGCGAATTTCTTACAGCTTTATGTGTATATATCGGTTATATTTCGTTTCCATATTGTACTAGTAATATGGAGTTGTTATTTTTAATGGGATTTTATAAGGATGAACCTTTACCCAAAACGTTTTTAACATATATACCCAACCAATTGTTCACATATCCATTCATACTCTGCGCTCACAGACAAATCAAACTGAAAAGTAATTGGGAACAATTTTGTTCACATTTAAAAGTGGTATTTTATTATATAAATTTCCTGACTTATTATCAAGAGATATTTAACTTGTATGAATTCAAAGAATTGTATTTATATTTATACGAGATTGAAAGAAAAAACGACGTATGGGTGAATTACGTAAATTACTTATCGAATCTCTGCAGTTACATTAAAAATTTAAAGATTTATCTTATTCTCTTAGTTTTTGAAAAGTTTTCGAATCATTTATACGATATTAGAGAACTTATCTCAGGCATTATCGATTTCCTTCAAGTAATGAACGGTAACGTAGACATTTATTTTATTGGCGTAGAATATTTTTTGGGTGAAAATTATTTCCATAGGTTCATCAATGTAAAATACAATTTGAATTCGTCTGAGATCCGGAAATCATTAAATATAAGTGAAGACGAGAAGTTGGTTGCATTGGAAACTGTCGACGATTCGAAACAATCTGACAGTTTCGTCCTCTCGTTGGAGCAATACGAAACTTTACGCGATCGTATCTTATTTCAGTCTGCCAGTAAATTGAAATTAAAATGTGCAATACTGTAGAATTCTTTAAAAATATATATTAAGTTTTTTTTATAAAAGAATCGTGTAACCTTTATTTATGATATTACACGTATTTATCAGTGACGAATTTCTACAAATAGATACACTGGATTGTTAAACGTTGCGTGTCGTCGTGTTGAAACATTTTTGTAGGATTATAATCTAGGAAAAAATTAAATAATTGTATTTGTGGTTGACTACACCTATAACACTACACTTATGAAAATGTAAATTATGTATAGGCCTAAACACTGTGTTTAGACATTATTTTGAAGTTCTACAAATATACAGTTGATCCCCCATAACACTGTTGATAATTCCGTTTTATATGAATTCCATGTTGTACGAGTCACTTAAATTTTACAAATACGAGTGCCGGGCTGTGAACGGCTCACGTATTTGAAAAATCTAAGTGATTCGTACAACATGGAATTCATATAAAACGGATTTATCAACAGGGTCAACTGTACAGTTATAGGTGTAGTCTAAGCACAAAATACTGCATAACAATTCATTTACAATTAGCGGTTATGGCATTTATAGAAATTGTCCTATTCGGTCCGCTCGTGTGCCAAACTTCCATTCATATTATTTTGCGTAATTGCAATTAGTTTGTAATTTCTATTATAAACTGATTGCATAGTATACTGTTATATACATAAGTTTTATGTTTCAAATTGTATTTTTGAAGATATTTACGCGTGTTTCGCGGTGTTACAGGATTGTAAAAAGTACTTTACCTGTCAAATAATGCGCTAAAAATATATTAAATTCAATTGTTGTACTCTTCGTGAATAGAAATGAAGCTGAAATGTCTATTGTTTGCTAATAACTAAACAATACGGTAAACACGAATGTTTACATTGTTAAATATTATATTTCGAATATACAGGTTTATAGATTTTACAAAAGCATTAAATTAGAGTTAAAGATGGTCAACTTGATCTTCTAATTAAATGAATTAGCAAACAATTTAATTGACGTTTCGAACATCCATTAAATGTAAGGTGATTATCAAATACATACGAAAAAAAAAAATATACGAAACTGAACGTAGAAGAAAGTATAAAGTTTATTGAAATCAAGTGAGATAAGCATATTAAAAAGTATTTGGATATTTGTTTTATAAATAAATTTAACCTAACGACATCAAAATTAATTGTGAAGGATTGATATTGTTCAACAATGATATATTGAAAGTCAATGTTATATAATAAAAATGACAGAAAATAATCTTAAAGTATGTGAATTGTCATTTTAATCTTTCATACAGAATAGGAAATTTCATTTTCATTTATGTGGATTAGTAAAATAACTGGATATTTTTAGAAAATAATATAAAAATTATACCTGAGATTCTGGATAAAATGCAGAAAATGTAATAATTAGAAAGTATACATTGATATATTGGTCGTATTTTTATTGTAAAATTAGTTATATGTGTAAACTGATAATACAATTAAGAAATAAAAACCTTATATACAATTCACGTGTTTGTTTTATATTTTTTAATAGAATATAAAGAAAAATAAACGAAAGAAATTATTTAAAATAATCTTCTCTTGTGTTTTTAACCGATTGAAAAATAAAACTATTTAGTTAAATACAGTACCGAATTTAAACATTAATTTTCTTTTATACATGAAGATGTATCTAGAATATTAATTACTTACCAAATATTTGATAATAGTATGGTTAACACTCCTCTGTCTATGAGACAATAAGCAAGATTAGCACTTAAACACGGTTGTAGCTTATTTACACTTATCAAGTTATGTATTTTACAATTTTATCAAAGTATTGCAACGTAACAGTAGAACATTTCGTGGTTAAAATATAGTTTCATTTTCGAATTGTGTAAAGTTTTCTCCTTGCTTTAAGCAGATTGCTCCTTTTACTACAGGTAGAAGATCTCACCAATTAATTAGTTGACAGGAAAACAATGATCAATACAGGTGTATTTTTATAGTGGTTACATGTGTTTATGAGAACACATGTAATCACTATAAAAATACACCTGTATTGATCATTGTATACCGTAACAAATTACTGACTGAATGTATTTAAAAAAGCTTCGTGTCCTTCGTTCAACGATACATCCAATATTATAAAATGATGTCACGGAATTTAGTTATGATGTCTATGCAGTAACGCTGTATTTAAACAGTAGTAAATACATTTGATACGCCATATATATTAATTGTATAAAATATTAATAGAAAACTCGAACGTGGCACGAACGTTTACTTCAGAAAAGTAAGTATCAAATTATATTACCGTTTAAAACTAATTCATGAAGTTTAAATAATTACAAATTAATAAATTATTTATTAATATACTGCATATTATTATTCATTTATAGTGAATATCTATTATTAAATTTTCGATTGTTATATCCGATATATTGTTTCGTTATATCCAAGAAATTCGGGCCATAGCGAATTAGTTAACATTACAGAAGTATAATTATATTGTAGATATAATTATACTGATTATTTTCATCATAGAATGATGGAAATTATAAGTGTGAATTTACTAGTAAAATTTGCTATAGCATGCATCAAAGTCTGCGTGTAAATAGATGTTTTCTCATGAATCTGAATATCTGATATCTGTATATAATCGAGACGGGTTGATAATAATTATAATAATAATAATAATCAGCGCAGAGCCCAAACGGTTAGGAGTTGAAAGTTGAAATTTGGTACACAGTTAGGGTACGTCACGAAAACGCACAATAAGAAGGGATTTTTAGAAATTCCCCCCGGGGGGAGAGAGACAGGATTAAAACTTCTATATACATTATGGATACGAGCCCAGACGGTTAGGAGTTGAAAGTTGAAATTTGGTACACAGTTAGAATACGTTAGGAGAACGCACACTAAGAAGGGATTTTTCGAAATTCCTCCCCACGGGNTATTCGAGTGTTATATGTAAGGTAAATATTTAAACGTTTATATAAAACGCATAAATCTGTGAAAATTTTAAAATCTTATATTTAACTTATTAAATTTAAATTAAAGTAATGGAAGAAGCAGAAGTTTCAAGTAAGGACAAGAATGTCGTCGTTTATCCAGTTAATTACGAACAAGCTGCAAATGTAAGTCGGTAACATGTATTTTATTTTACTCTATAGACAATTGTTTTGTGAGACTTCATAATGACTGCAAGACTATGTTTGATATCGTACAAAAAACTGAAAAAAGTAGCTTTGTTATTTAACTCCACAATAATAAGAAAAAAACAAATAATGATCATTAAATTTAATATATTTCCATGCATTATGACTAGTAGGTAGTCTCAATAATAGAACAGCGAAGTTATGAGCAGTACTTTCACGTACTCGTATTCAAAGAGAGTGCCTTCATAACGTTATAGGTGCATTAATATAAAATACACTTTATAATTTTTACTTAATTTTATTTAAACTGTTCTCTTGACCAGCGATGTCCAACCTGCGGCCCACTCAATGTTTTTGTGCAGTTCTTTAAAACAGTAATTATCTTGTATAGATTTTTATTACATTGAAATTGCATATGTATAGTCAAATATATACGTTAATATGATGTATAATACTTTATCACGAACAATCAGAAATTAAAACAGTATTAAATATTTTTTAATAAATCATACATTTTCACAAACTAA